AAATATTGTTTCTATATATATATATATATATATATATATATATATATATTGAAGAAGATTAAAGTAATTTCATAATATTTTATTTATTATAACAAAAACTTTAAACACTAGTTAAATATTTTTATTTTCTAAAATATTTCATGAACCACACTACATTCTCCTAGTGCATTCTCTACTATATAAATATATATAAAATATAATTTTTTTTTTTTTTTTTAATCCTAATCCAGTAATCACAAGTATTTGGAAAAAATCTTACAAGCACCACTAGTTCTCATTTTCTTCATTTGTTTCAGGATGTGACCCCATCCCAGTGGAGTATTTGAGGTGGGGTGACCCTGAGCCCATCGCAGCCGTGGTCTTCTCCTGCTTGGGCCTGATGGCCACGTTCTTCGTCACCTCCATCTTCATCATCTACCGCGACACTCCGGTGGTGAAGTCATCCAGTCGCGAGCTGTGCTACATCATTTTGGCGGGCATCTGTCTGGGCTACCTGTGCACCTTCTGTCTTATCGCCAAACCTCGTGTCATCTACTGCTACCTGCAGCGGCTGGGCATTGGCTTATCGCCCGCCATGAGCTACTCGGCCCTCGTCACCAAGACCAATCGCATCGCTCGAATCCTGGCCGGCAGCAAAAAGAAGATCTGCACCAAGAAGCCTCGTTTCATGAGCGCCTGCGCCCAGCTGGTGATCGCCTTCCTACTGATCCTCCTGCAGCTGGGCATCATCGTGGCACTCTTCATGATGGAGCCTCCTGACGTCATCCACGACTATCCCTCCATCCGCGAGGTCAACCTCATCTGCTACACCACCAACTTAGGTGTGGTGGCGCCGCTGGGCTACAATGGCCTCCTCATCATGAGCTGCACCTTCTACGCCTTCAAGACGCGCAGCGTTCCCGCCAATTTTAACGAAGCAAAGTACATCGCCTTCACCATGTACACCACCTGCATCATCTGGCTGGCCTTCGTGCCCATTTACTTCGGCTCGAACTATAAGACCATCACCATGTGCTTCTCCGTCAGCCTGAGTGCCACTGTGGCTCTGGGCTGCATGTTCGTGCCGAAGGTTTACATTATCCTGGCTAAACCGGAGAGGAATGTCCGCAGCGCGTTCACTACGTCGACGGTGGTGCGCATGCATGTGGGAGATGGAAAATCCTCATCCGCGGCCAGCCGGTCGAGCAGTCTTGTCAATCTATGGAAGAGACGAGGATCGTCGGGAGAGACACTCAGGTGAGTTGAATTGTGCACCAATACTTTTCAAAAGGTACCATTTACTAATATGCATCCTTTAGGGGTAAATAAGGTACAAAGGTGCATCTTTTGAAAGGATACTGCCTCAGTGACAGCTTTTGTACCTTTTTTCTGAGTCTAGATTTGCATTTCCTAGCAGGAAATAAATAGTGTTAGGCAGGCAGGCAGGCAGGCAGGCAGGCAGGCGGATAGATAGATAGTTTTACAGTGAAATATTACAATGGTAATATCTTTAATTGTTCTTTAATTGTTATTTACATGATTGGCCAAATTGTGCAGCTCTACAAACAAGCACAGCAAACCTGGATTTTTTTTAAATCACATTTTAAATCACAATCACAATTTTTATCAGAATAAAACCCAATTGGATTTTTTTCTCCAAATTGTGTAGCCCTCATAGACAGATAGATATGAACAGAAATAGTGATGTTGTTTGTACTGGGGTTATTTAGCAATCATTTTAACTGAATATATTATTTTAAATGCTGTTTCAGCTCTAATGGGAAGTCGGTGACGTGGGCCCAGAATGAGTGCAGTTCCAAAGGTGGCCACCTGTGGCAGCGTCTCTCCTTCCACATTAAGAAGCGCGAAAGCAACCAGACGGCCGTGATCAAACCTTTCTCCAAAACGTCTGAGGGTCGCTACTGCGGAAGCAGTGATATCAACACCGACAACAGTAACAACAAGATGCTCTACGAGGTCACCGAAGTGGAGGAGCGCTACCCCATCACCTACCGGCCCCAAACACCCTCACCGATTAGCACCGTGACCCAGAGAGCGAGCATCGCTTTATCACAGAGCGCCGGCGCCACCAACTCCCAGGTCATGAGCGTCTCCACGTACATGTGTCAGCCTCCACACCGCGGCAACAGCGGTGGAAGTGAGTCGCAGGGCTCTTTGATGGAGCAGATTAGCTGCGTGGTGAACCGCTTCACCGCTAACATCAGCGAGCTCAACAGCATGATGCTCTCCAGTTCTCCTCCAGGGAGCCCTGTGGGTTTGTCCACCAGCGCGTCCGTACACGCTCAATCTGTGGAGCCCTGCTGCCCTCCGCCCTACCGCCTGTCCCGAGAGATTTCCATGCCGACCACCATGACGACCTACGCTGAGATCCAACCCCTCCCACCAGTGGAGTCTAATGTGGGTCGCCCCACCCCTCCCTGCCCACTTTCTGTTTCATCGCGACTCAAAACGTCACCCACGACAAGTGGGAAGGAGCTAAAGGGGGGTGTGTCCTCAGCTCTGGAGTCGCCGCCCAAT